GCAAATGATCACAAGCTCTACTGTAAAGGTATTAGAAACACTGCTGAGATTAGCTGCTGAACAAAAGAAAGCATTGTTGAAAAGCAACTCTAATATCAGGGTCCCAAAACATTAAAGTGATTATCATCAGATGACTGCACAGCACCATCTTCTGGGGAGCAAAAAGCTATGGTTTTGTCTTTTTTTTTTTCTCTCAGGCTTTGAGAAAAAAGTTCTAACCATATAAAGTTAGTTTTACAAGAAATAGTAATGTTTAGCTTAAAAACAATTCATTTACAATGACCAAGACAAAATTTTATTAACCTCTGCCATCACTAGAAATGTACAAAGTGAAAATTCCTTTAAGATGTCTTAACCTCTTCATCAAAGACCACATATCAGCCTTGCTCTGATTTCTGCAAGTGAGAAAAAAAGGTATTGCTCACATACTAAACAATGACATCTTAAAGTATACATCACAAGGTAAGGTTCTCCTGAGTTTGTATGTGGACTGCAACTACAAGATCAAGGCTTTTCTGAAAGAGTCTTTGGATAACCTTGCTCTAGCATGAGCCCAAAGACATACCCATGAAAAATACAAGCGTGCTGAGTAGACCATTGATATATCATTGCTCAAACTCAGTCTCTATGAGAAAGTTGCACATGCAAGCCAGAATTTATGTTTAGAAAATAAGCCACTTTAAAATACTTTGCTTGTTACTAGCTTGCTACATTGACAACCTTAACAGCACCATACTTCCTTTTCATGTTAAAGCTTTCAACAGGAAGATAACCAGTCAAGAGTTTGATGTAAAAGTTACTTGATTACATAACCACAGTTCAATTAACTCTGCTTTCCTGTACAACTGATGCAAAGAGCAAGAGTCAGACCTGACACATAGTAGTCTCCCAGGTTTGCATACTAGTATTTTTAACTACACTATAAAACCAGAACACAGGAATGAACACATACTAGGAAAATTTTAGACTAAATAAGAACACCTAGGAGGAAAGGAAAGGCTCTTTCCTTGCTATGTCTGCCATGTAACATAACATGCAGAGTTTCTCACAATGGTACACATGGAAATATTACCTCCAATTTAGTAGCACTAGTTTAACCAAACTAAAATAAGCATAACCAAGTGGGTTTTTTAAAATACAATCAACACCTTTAGGAAATAATTGAATTCACATATCTTTGTTTTAAAATTAATTTCTCTGTGTGGAGTGTAATATACCTCAGTATATGCTGTAACTGCACAAGAGCAGCATGGGGCTTTACTGCACTGCAGGAGGCCTTCTACACTCACACTATCAAGTTCAAAGGTAACTAGTGGCCTGCCTTCCCTCAGATTTAGCAGCCATGCGCTATTTCCAAGCTAAGGTAGCACAGACACAACACAAGCTGGGCACCACCTGCTTAACCTCGTTTTAGCAAAGGGCAGAACAAGGCCAAGGGGCCTGCAACTGCGTAGGCTCACCTGGTGTGCCACACGGCCTGAGGAGCGAAGCCTGGCAGCACCGGGCAGCGCCCCAGCCCGGCTGACATAGGATTAGCGCCCCAAACCGGGGCGAGACACCGCGGAGCGCCCCAAAAGCGCGGCCTCGCACGGGCCGAGCGACGCTGCCCCCTGACCCGCCACCTCGCGCCCAACGGCGGCCCCCGGGCCCCTGCTGCCCCCCCCCCCGC